AACAGACGATTTTAAATTAAAATGGGTTCAATGTAATCAAAGTGTTAATTGGAATTCATTTAAAGATGGTGAACAGATGGTTAATCATATACAAGGTGAAGATTATTTTACAACTAAACTTCAATTATGGCAATCATTACAAACATATGAAAAAATTTCAATGACTATGCAAAAACGTTCACTACAATTTTTACCATTAAATCAATTTGTTCCTGAAACATTTAAATTAGATGAAAAAAATGATCGAGATGCTTTTTTCAATACACATAAACGTTTGTCTATTCAAATTCTTCTAATTTTTAAAAATTATTTTTAATGTCTTTTTGTTTTCTAGCTGGTGATGTTTGGATTTGTAAACCTAGTGGACTTAATCAAGGTAAATGTTTTATTTTCATTAAAATAATAAAAAGAAAAAAAAATGAATTTTTGTTAAATATAGGAAAAGGAATTTATCTTGTTCGAGATATTGAAAGTTTAAAAAGTAAATTTGCTGAAATTGATGCTATGGATAGGAAAAAACAAATATCAGTCAAACCAATGAAGAGAGTTATTCAACGGTTTGTTTTTATTTATTTATTTATTTTTTTCTTATTAAAGAAAGTTTTTTGTTTTTAAAATAGTTATATTATGAATCCATTATTAGTTCAAGGAAAAAAATTTGATATTCGATGTTATATGCTTATATCAAGTGTTAAACCACTTTTGATTTTTTATCATTCAGGTTATATTAGACTTTCAATGTTTGATTTTGATAATAATGATGAAAATCTTCTTACACATCTTACTAATCAGGTTTTTTGTTTTTATTTTTGTTTTTGTTAATATTTATTTTAATTTATTTAATTAAATAAGTATATGCAAAAAAAAGATCCAAAATATTACGATATTAAAGAAGACACAGCATGGACTATGGAACAATTTAAGTATTTGAATTTATTTTCGATTTTTTTTTAATATTAAATTCAATATATATTTAGTGATTATGTTAATAAAAATCTTGCATCAAGTAAAAATCTTGAACAAGATTGGGTTCTAAATGTATTACCTGTAAGTAAATAGTTGATGAATAAATAATTAAAAAAAAATAAGAAAATATTTCAAAGAAAACCATTCAACGTATTATGTTAAATGTAATTGAAAGTATTCGAATGAGATTAAAAAGACGTATTGGTTGTTTTGGTTTATATGGTTATGATTTTATGATTGATCAAGATATGAAAGTTTGGTTAATTGAAATAAATGTTAATCCAGCATTAACAACAAATACAAATACACTTGTTCAAGCTATTCCTCCTGTTGTTAAAGAATCCATTTGTAAGTTTATTTATTTGATTTTATTTTAATCTACTTATTTATTTATTTATTTTAAAAAACAAAGTATTATCCATTGAATGTTTTGACAAACTTCGTCATAATCAAAAAATCTTTCCATTGAAATCTTTGAAAGGATTTAGATGTATTTATAATGAATTAGAAAGAAAAGGTTCATTACCTTATATTGAACAAAGACGAGCAGCATCATCTTCACCAAATACACGAAAACTTCCTCCAATTGTTGCTCCTCCATTAGCACCATCTCCTAAAACAAATACAAATAATTCTCCACCAAATTCTCCAAAAACAATATCAAAAAATAATGATCAACAACAAACATCTGTTACACAAAAAAATGTTATACCAAATATAAATCGTACAAATGTTGAACGTCCAAAAGTAAATCGTTCATCAGATTCAATATTATCATCATTAACAACAACAAATCATTCATTTCCAATAGTTAATCCTCCATCAAGTGAAACAATGGTTATGAGATATCAAACAATTCAAAGATATAAAACTAATTTTGAAATATTAAAACCAGCAACTGTTATTGCTGAAGAATGGAAAAATTTAGATCGAACACAAAAAGATCGTTTAGCTATTGGAGGACCTAAAGCTCTTGTACTTGTTTCAAAATCTTCAACTCCTACAAAACATATTCCAACACTTCAAACATAGGGACACGGGGCAGTTGCATCAACTTCTTCTTATCAGAAAGATCAAAATTGGCTTGTCACTGGAAGACAACTTACTGTGGTTGATACCAAAACACTCGGTTTGTTTTCTTGTTTTTTTTTTAATTTCTCTTTTTTATTGGAATTTTTTTTTTGTTTTTAATAACAGGTACATGGCTTAAACAACGACAACAACAACAACAGGAGAAAGAAAAAGAGAAAGAAAACGAAAACGAAAAAAATAATCGAATTGAAAAATTGTCAAATAGTTCATCTGGAAATTCTTCTGAAACATCATCAACAACAACAACAACTGGTGGTGATAATCCAACATCAAATTTACCTGGAAATTTTCAAAAAATAAATAAAACACGTTCATGTTCAGCAACATTACGTGGTCAAAGTTTACTACCTGAAAAGCCTTTAATTATTAAAGAAATAGTTCATAGATCACATCCATGGGAATATGATGATTATTCATCTCAACAAGATTCTGTTGAACCTTTAACGAAATCAGCACTTATTTATCGTTTAATGCGTTCAAGACTTGAAGCCAATTTAGCTAAATCAATATCAGCCAATAGAGATCGATCAAATAAGAAGAAGAAATTATTTTCATCTACAACAACATGATGTAACTGTCCGAAGATTTTTAATCCATTCTTTCAGGAACCTTTTCTTTTTTATTATTTCAATTTCAATTTTTTCAATTAACTCTTTTTGTAGATAATTTTATCATTCTTTTTTCTTTTTTATTATTATTATTGACGTTTATTTTCATTAAAGAAAAAAAAAACTTCTTTGCATTTCAATATAGAGGATCAATTACAGAAACTTGAATAGCTCGAGAACGCGAACAGACATAATGAAACGATTTTCGTCCTCTGCTACATAACTATGGAACACATCGAATTATATCAGAACAGTTTTTTTCCATTAGTTTCATAAAGCTTTGTCAAGCGAGTCTTGATAAAACTATCATCATTTTCAGAAATTTACATCAAATTTCAAGTTTTAGAAATATGTAGTCAACAAAGAAAATAGTTCTCTTTTCCAATACTCAGACTTGATGTGTCTACCTTGTAATTTTCAAGAATTAGAACAGTTTTCTACGAATTCTAGATTTCAATTGATTATCTGTGGGTCGCGCAAAAAATAATCTGGACGATGGGCGTTGATCATATTGACGAGCGAATCTTTTCAGATGGTTCTCCTCTCTTTCAATTTCAACGATTTTTTTTGCGTATAGATACTGCTCAATGTTCTAGTAAAAATTCTAAAAAGGATTTGTGTTCCCCTAGCACGTCCTTCAAGAGTTATGAACATTTTAATTTTGTCCCTATAGTGCTCAAGAGAGGGTTCGTGAGACCACCTACAATTTTTATCAGAAGCCGGTCGCAACTAAAATTTATATCTTGATTCAGGTACCTCAAAAGATAGATCATTATTCAAAACCTCTGAATCCAAAATATTGGCTCTTTCTGGCTTCTCTGTGACCAATGCCAAAGTATACAAATGATATATCCTTCTATATTTGATACAAAAATCAAGATTTTTAGGTGCTATTAGTATTTTGCATTTTTTTTTCTCTGTATTCGGTTGTTAGTTCGAATTCGAAGACATCTCAAAAGATGCAGAAATGTTTTCTCTACAAAATCGGATAACTGGTTAAGCTATACAATATCATTCATCAAATGATAATCTCAATACATGAACGAAAATGACCATTATCTAAATTCACGATTTTATAGTATTTTGACCGTAGCCATCTTGAATCATGCTATCCCAAATTAATTTATATATTTTCTGGAAGTCCTTGAAATTCTGCATTTGTATAACGTATTGCTTCAAAAGACGAAAATATCAATGCAAATAGTTTGAAGACATTTTCATTCGTGTATTGAGATTATCATTTGCTGAATGGTATTGTATAACTTAATCAGTTACCCAATTTTGTAGAGAAAAAATTTCTGCATCTTTTGAAACGTCCTCAAGCGCGAACGGATGAACGGGTGCAGAGAAAAGTGTAAAACACTGAGGTCACTCTAAAAACTGACTTTTTGACCAGGTCCCGAAGAGCGTATCACTTACATCGGTAAAGTTAGCACCAGATTTGGCTTTCTTTGTCCGGATTCGCTATGTTACTTGGGTTGTTTCTGAAACCACTCGTATTAGGTGTAGAATTCAATTCTGCGTCGAATGGTATCCCTTTTGAGGGTAATTGTCGACCAAAAACACCCCCGTTCACTGATAATACTAGTTTTCGGGATAAATTTCGCGGTATTTCCTAGGGTGTGGGTATGGGTGTTCGCGAAGAGAATATCCGCACTCACACCCTAGTTTAACCCTTTGAGTACCGGCGACGCGAATTCGCGTCCTGATAGTTTAGGGTCTGAATAACTTTAGAAAACATGATCGTTTGATTATTTTATGATATGAATTACATGAATATTTGCGTCTAGGATATTTGTACGGTTAAGACTATCTATACCTAGTGATGAATATTAGTTGTTCTCTAATATTTCTATCGACCATTATGTGATTCAATGAATTAGAACATAAGTCATTGGACAACATTTCCCAAGAAAGAATAATCGTTATCAACAGGATTTTTCATATTAACACAGTCATTCAAGAGTGTTATCTATAGTAAAGGTTCTGATCAATTGATCACATTTGATAACTAATGTAGAGTGCACTTTTTGATATAAAAGGTCACGAAGAACAAATGTCGACAACTTCTGACTCATATATATTATTTTTCTTTATCTTTCTCTAATCGTAGAATGACGTCATAATCTCTCTTCTATTTTCTCATATTCTTTTACGAGCCTTCGAGTAGATTCTTATTCTCCCTGCGATATATATATATATATTTGTTTCATTCTTATTATTCAAACGAAAGTGTGATTTATTTCAACATATCCTATATTTCTGTGACGTCTATTATTCACAAAGTGAAGCTGCTTTCAACGAGAAATCTAACAAAGAAATAATCGAATAATAATGGATTCAGAATCTGGCAATGAGTCTGGAGACTATTCATATGATGAAAGTTCTGATGAGGTTGAATATAGCAGTGATTGGGATGAAGAATACACAGCTTCTTTTGAAAAAATATCTACTACAAGGAGAAACTTGAGAAAAGGAAATTTCAATCCGCGTTTGTTTAGTTTTGATTCAAGTAGTTGTGAATTATCTTTCACCATAAAAAATCTTGCTCTCGAAACACCATTTGACTTCTTCAAACTATTTTTCGATCGACGACTACTTGAAACAATTGTTAAAGAAACTAATCGATTTCATGCAAATTCTGCATGGACAAGCTATAGTCGTACAGCTCCATGGATCGATACAACAATCAACGAAATGTATACATTTTTAGCTACGGTTATGTTGATGCCTCATTCGAAAAAAAATCGTATTTGTGATTATTGGTCTACTGATCATCTTATTGCAACACCAATATTTGCTGAACTTTTCACTAGAAATCGATTCAGAGCTTTACTTACTAATCTGCACTTCAATAAAAACCAAAATCAAATTGTTAAAGATAGTCTTTACAAAATACAATCAATTATTGATGAATTAAAAAAAAGGTTTTTGTGCTCTTTGAGTCCATATAAAAACCTTTGCATTGACGAAGCTTAACTTTATGGAAAGGCCGTTTACATTTCAAACAGTATATACCATCAAAACATCATAAATTTGGAATTAAAATGTTTATACTTTGTGACTGCAAAATAGGTTTTATAATGAATTTCATAGTTTATGCCGGTTCTAAAACGTCACTCAACTATCAAGAACATCTTGGTGTCACTGGATCTATAGTTACAACTTTATTGGAACCCTTCTTGAATAAAGGTCATTCATTATTTGTAGATAGTTTCTATTCCAGTCCCACTTTATTTGAATATCTTCATCAATATAGAACAGGAGCATGTGGAACTGTAAATAAAAGTTGAGTTGGTTTACCAATCTTTGAAAAGATACAGGAATCTGGGGAGCAAATTTTTTTATCACACTGACAACTTACTTGCATTACAATGGATTGATAAACGTGATGTCACAATGTTATCTACACTTCATGAACCAATTATGGTTCCAACTGAAAAAGTTCACTTTGCAACGAAGTAGCCGAAGATAATATCTCTTTGTGTGAAAGAATATAATGAGTACGTAGGTTTGGTCGATAAATATGACATCCAAATAAGCTTCTCGGAGTGTATTCGTTGATCAGTAAAGTGGTACAAAAAGTTCTTTTTTCATCTGCTGGATCTTACGATTTATAATGTATATGTTCTATACAAACTGAAAAAAAATGTTAATCTTCGTTTGGCTACTTATCAGCTTGAGGTGATTAGAGAAATTATTGGAAAATATGGTAGCCAGGTGCGAAGTTCAATCGGTCGACCATCTTCTAAAAGTCCACTGCGACTCACAGCACGACATCTTCCTTCGCGCATTGAATCAACAGAGACTCAACTAAATCCAAGAAGAAAATATTGCGTTTGTGCCAATACTGTGAGAAGAGCTAGATCAAGAGATACTTCGTATGAATGCATTGAATGTGACGTAGGATTGTGTCTTATGGATTGTTTTAAAGAATATCACACTCTACAAGCATTTCAATTCATGCACTTTGTGATGTTTTTTGCGAAATAAACGTTAGTTTGAAATTATAAAAATTTTTATTATATAAAAATAATCCGGCACTCAAAGGGTTACAACTGATGGTTCTGCATCTCATTCTAATACAATTCAATTACCATTACGACGTTTATCAACTTCGAAAGACCGGTGCTGCGTATGCAACATCTATTTTTCAGAGTCGAAATCACCATGTTCATTGATAAAACAATCTGCACGATTTAACATGCTTCTTACTCACAATGTTTTTATACCAAATGGTACTACATGTTGTAGAAAACATTTACATGATGATGAATTTAAGTCTGATGCCATCATTTTGATGAAAAAAGGTCCAAATATGTGTGCAATTTCTGACCACGAACCAATGGAATTATTGAACGATACTCGAACTTCATTTAATGAACTTCAATCTCTACTAACTAAAGCACGGTCTCGTTTACCTATTGATTTTGATGACGATCAAATGACAACAGATCAATACTTAAATCTCACCGGCATTTCGAAGGAAAATTTCTTTGACCTTTGCTCTCATATTCCATCAACAAGTCTCAGGCAAACAAGTTTACGTTCCGCTCGTCAATCTATCGGCTGTCTGCTCGTTAAGTTACGATTGAGTCTGAGTAATCAGACTCTTGCTTCGTTGTTTTCATTGCTTGATAGACGAACAGTTAGTCGTGTTATTGACAGTGCACGTACCGCCATAATAAAGCATTTCGTACCAAAATATTTGGGATTTTCGCATTTAACTCGACGAGAACTCATCGATAATCATACTCGTCCACTTGCCAAACTACTGTTCGATCAACCAGGTGAGGACAAAGCTATTATTATTCTTGATGGCACTTATATTTACGTCCAAAAAAGTGGTAATAATCTTTTACAACGGCGAACATATTCATTACATAAAGATCGTGCTCTCATCAAACCAATGATGTTCGTTTCAACAGACAGCTAATTTATTTCAACAATAGGTCCATATTTTGCGGATGCGCAGAATAACGATGCTTCGATGACGAAACATATTTTCTTGACAAATAGCGAGAACATAAATGATTAGCTTCAGCCGAATGATATGCTAATTGTTGACCGAGGCTTTCGGGACTGTCTGTAATTCCTTGAAAAATTTGGACTGAAAATAAAAATACCTGCGTTTCTCAACAAGGCAGAAAAAGTCTTTTCAACCCAGGAGGCTAATGAAAACCGGCTTATTACAAAAATCAGATAGGTGGTGGAAAGTGCGAATGGGCGTGTCAAGACATGGCGATTGTTCGATCGTGTATTGCCTAACTCGATGATACCGATTGCTGGAGATCTCTTCTCGATCGTATGCGCTCTAATTTATGCATATCGACCTCCTTTCATCCAAGATACATCAAAAGATCATGAAATTGCTGAGGCAATGATAGCCAGGATTTATGAGAGCAATGAACTAAAGCATTATGTTCAAAAAATGAAATATGAGAGTAAAAGTCAACTGAAATGGGTATTGATCAATTCTAATGATGCTGTCCACGATTTTCCTCATTTTACATGGGAACAATTGAACAGTATCACTTTGGGAATATATCAGTTGAAACAAGCTCGATGGTACACTATTGGCCATATTTATCAAAACGAAGCATACGTGGTTAAAGTTGCAAAACAATGCCGAGACTTACTAAGAGCTCAAATTCAGTCACGCCATCGAAATGCGGTATCATACAATATTTATATTCAGTATAACAAATCATCTATTTTAGCATGGTATTGTACATGTCCATGCGGTAGTCGAGTTGTTGCTCGCACATTGCTTCAGTGGTGTGGTATCTTTCTCTTGCTCGTCATGACTCGAGGCTTTTGCGTGAACGATCGTCCACTTACCTCAGTCAAATGAAGGATGCTCAGGATTGCTCTGACGTATCCCAGCAGTGAGAGTGATAATAGTGACGATGATGATTCGAATGTACTATATTCTCTAGCATAGTTTTTTCATAATGTTATAACTTTTCTTTGCTCCAGAGTGGATTATGATCAATCTTTCAAACTATTGATCGAGTTTAGATACAAACTGTTGCAAAGGTAAGTGCACTCCATCATACTAAATTATTGGACATAATAATATAATTAATCGACAAGATTTTCGAACTTACATTTTTCATTTGAAGAATCATAGACTTTCACAGATTTTTTCAATTTTCATAATGTAAATAAAGACTTTCATTTCTTTCAATAATAAATATTTCTTAATTTCATGCTATTAAATTGTGTCATAATAAGCCATTGTCATGTTTCTTTTTTTTTTTATTTTCTAATAAAGGCTTTTGAAACCTAAATACTTCTCTTATTTCTATGAAAAACTTATTTTTATCAACAATAATACTACATCATATATTAGGAACTCTCAAATATTACACGCTTATGCTTTTTTTTCATTAACAACATAACAAGTAAAAAAAATCAAGAAAGAGAGAATACCTTAACTAAAAACGCTCAAAAAGCAGCTAAGAATGGTAAAAACAATGCAATTTTTCTTCAGTATATTAGCTTTCTACAGAAAAGGACAACTTTTTTTTCTCTTCTAAGGACATATTTCGATAGAGCATGAAAAACTGCATCTACCTATATCGTTTTTACATGGAGACATAGTATTATGGCGAAGTGGTATGGCTTCAAAAAGAGTCATTCGTCACACTTATCCGAAATTTTAGCTCGTAATCCGGCTTTAAAAATTGTTTTGTGTGTTTAGATGCTGTAATTTTTACATCATTAGATAGAGAATAGTCGATTACATATTTGAAATATGTTTTCAAAAATTTAGAACGCTAAATTAAGACGGCAAGGACGTCAAAACTACAGAAAATCTTCAATTTTTGTCTAAGACCAAAATCATCGGAAATTTGGGTGTGAGTGTGAGTGTGGGTGTGTGGGTGTGTGGTTTTTTTTACCAAGAATAGATACATGTTCACACTCTAAATCCATACGGACAAGGTTAACGAGAATCTTTGTTAATTATATTGTTTTTTTTCTTATCTGTGAAAAAGTAAAAGTTTCTTGTTGGAGCCAATAGTGATACTTAACAAAGGTTCTCACTGACCTTGTCCGTAGGGATTTGGATTGTGAACACGCCTCTGTCCTTGGTAAAAAAAATGAGCCTATTTGATCGAGCCGTAATGAAAATATTCAAATTTTTCTTTGGCAAGGGACTTACTGGACACCCTATATGATAAAATATGATTGAAAATTCTTAATGTATTTATTAAAAAAGAGCTCAATATTCACAAGTGGAACTTTGTTGACAACTAGAAATTTGTCAGTCAAACACTTTCAGATTCATATCTCTTTATCGTTAAAGTCACGGAAATCGATAAAAACGAGCAAACTCAACTAGTTTTAATGATATAAAAATTAATAAAAAATCTCAAAAAAACCACCAGCAAACTGGCCGGTATGCTGGTCCGGTTTTAAGTATGATTTAGACGAAAACGTGTGACTGATGAGGTAGAAATCATTTCGGCAGTAGAGGAGTAAGCTGATTGACTGTGTCGTCAGGTTTTCGGAATATTTTCCGATTATCACTGACGTAACATGAAAATAAATGCGAGATTTTTGAAAATTTTCTACACTCAGGATCAGTTTTCAGGGATGTTTTTATCTAGTTTCTTGTCTGTGTGCTCTCTACCTTCGTTTTATTTCCTTTTCACAGGGGTGACGCGAGTCAACCAACATTGGGGGGAGGGGGGGTGTAGCGAAATTTTTTGGACTAGAAAGACGAAGTCTGCAATTTTTCGGGGGGTGTAACATTATTTTTGGTGACAAGTGGAAGAAAATTTCGTGATTTTGTTGAGCAAAAAAACAGAAATTTTTGAAGATTGGGGGGGGCTGTCGCACCCCCGACATCCCCCCGGTCGCGCCACCCCTGCCTTTTCATTTCAAAACTTTTTGAAACAAAGCATCGAAAATTTTCAGTCATGACTGTAGTCTGAGACTTTAGCAACCGCCGACAACAACAGACGAGAAAAGTTGCAAAAAATTCAGGCGCGTCACGTCCGATCAATACATAGGCTTACACATTCTTCAGGCAAGATCTTTATGTTCTTGAAATATGGGCTTAATGCGTTTTCCTCTTGATTTCTGACCTCATTCTCAGAAGTTATGTGTAAATCTTTACTGTACATCAACAAGACTTTTCTATCATTGCTCTTCTATTTTATTGAAAGACTTTAACAAAATATACAAAAGAAAAATCACTACAATAAAAATACATTCCATTTCATGCAAGTTAAGACGAAATACAAGCGGACAAAATAGAGAATATTTACAATGATAATAGAAAAAGAAAACTAATTTCATAGTCATGTTATAAATCTGACATGTTCATCAAGAAATAGATGATAATAATAATTTATTTATATTAAAAACGCATACTTTTTTTTATTATAATTGTTCTTCTCCATATTCATTGTCTGGATCCAAGTCTGTTTCAATAATATTCTTTGTGAAAACTCTAACACCAACTAGAACTCGAATCCTTAATCAGTCTGAAATTGTATCTTGTTTATAAAATATATTCATTTATCTGATATCGGCATGCAAAATTATATATTATATTAATAGAAGAACTTTTGTTCACTAAATAGTACACAATAACTGTTATCTGTTAATTGTTATCATGCACAAATAAGTAAATAATGTATAGAGATGTTTGTATTTTAGTTCATGCATATGGAAATAGATGTAACATGCCGTTTATCTTCAACTTCGTACAAGAATCTTTTTTTATTATTTATTTTTTTCAAAAGAAAATTATCAGAATTTGAACATTGGAAAGAATCTTGACTGATTGATTAAGAAAAACATGCATCTGGAAAGAATAGATTGAAGAATGTTGATTAGTTAATGAAAGAGAAAAAATCAAATGATCAACTTGATATTTAAAAGAATCTGTTTAAATAGCTACCGAATAATATTCTATTGGAATTTTTTTTTTCAAACATTTCTACTTAGGTACAATGCATCCGAGCTAGTTTATTGGAAATCGTACCTATTTTAACAATTATTTTAGTAAAAATATGTTAAATAATGTATATCTGTATAACACTGTGATATATTTTGATTGAAAATAATTGTTTTCTTATTGAATCGTTGAATTAATATCGAGAAATTTGTTGAGACATAGTTCATGAATATGAACATTTTTTTGTTTAAAGAGCAAACAAATGATAAACAATGATCATTAAGAGTCGAGAGAAAAGAAAATATTCATATTTCAAAGAATAAAAAACATATTTATAATGAATTCTCCATAAATTAACTAAACAAGAAATGATGAATTTTAAATAATAAACTAATAAATATATAGGAATTGATCAAGAAAAATTTTCGATATAAAATCATATATCAATATTTATTCAACTGATAGAAACTCGATTAAAGATTAAATGAAAATAATTCTCATTTTTTTCATTCGATTTTTGTGAATCCTTGTTTATATAAAAGTTTGCTAATTTTCTTCTAAAAATGAGACAATTTGATAAAAACAACTAACTTCTAATTAGTTGCAATAAATCTTTTTTATCAAACATAGTTAATTGAACAAAAAAAGACAATAATTAATAAATTCATTAAATAAGAATTCGAATGTTTTTATTGTTTATTATTTCCTTGATAAAGACTTAAATTTTCTTAATCGTTAATAAACCAAGAAAGAATGTCGATTTCGAAAATTTGCACTGTTGTTTTCTTCGTATAAGGTAATTATTCGTCTAAATATATCTATTATAATGATTAGAATAGTCTCTCTATTCAATCTAAATATGGTTTTTATCATTATAAAAGATCTTGATAAAATCGAGGTTAGACATAGACGATAATAGACCATATGTATGTGAATAATGGCAATAATCGTGATAAACAAAAAGTTGCAGATTGTTGTTTAGTTTATTTGATATTCGATAAACTAACTAACTAAATCATGTG